TAAAAAATAAACATTAAATGTAGTGTACTAATCTTTAATATAATACTTCTACAAAGTACGGGCAATTTTCTTCCATTAAACTTGCATTTTTCGATCATGTGACCGAGAAGACGAATCAATTAATACAAAACGGTAGAAGTAATAAATTGATTTTGGAGTAAATGAAGAAAACAAATTTTTTACTCAACAATCGATTAGTGTGAGTTAAAGTGACCATATGTGGTGATAATAATAAAATTTATGTCAGTGAGAATCATAAATTTTATTTACATATGAAATAAATTGTTAGATAGATATAAATGTGGGGTTGTTTAAAAAAATATAAACTTATGGATCATCTTTTGTAATTAAAAATATCTCAAATCATGATATGAAATTCTCATATCATGTTTTTTTTTTAAGAATATAAAATCACACTCATGATATGAAATCAACGTAAAATCGCATATCCAAATGATGATTTCATCTCACGATATAATATCGTATAACCAAACGCCTACATAGAGTCCCTAATTTAGGAATGGGCGGATGGCTCGGGAGCGGAGAGGGGTAAAAAATAATTTTTCCATATTTGAGAGTTCAGACTCTTAATTTAAATGTCTTGCGTTTTTTTAAAAAAAAATATTATTTTAAAAATATATAATAAAAAAAATATAAAGTATTGTCCGTCTAGATGAACATAACTGATAACACTATTGAAGCTAAAAAGCAGTTTACTTTCCGCTGAGAAACCGTCGGTTACACTCCAACAATAGACTGGGACGGTTAAAAGGACAAAACAAAGCCAGGATTCATGTTTACTTTTTTTTTATTATTATTTTATTTTAATTTTTAATATATTTTTTGCATCAGGCTTCATTTATACTTCAATTAGAATAGCGTCATCCTAAAGAAAATAAATATGCCTGAAAAAGAGATAAAGTAGTTCATTTTTTTCTTATATTTGTGTGTGTCACATATATTTATTTATTCCAATTTTAAATGTATTTGAATTTGATGAATATTGGGGCAAATATGAACTATTTGAATATCAACATCAAATAATTAGTAGGAAAGGGGACCAGAATATTTATTTATTTATATTCTTATCTCATTTAAATTAAGGCATTTTTTAAAAAAGGACACCATGAGTACGTACTTGCTAGTTAGTGTATACAGTGATGGTTAAGTGACCACTCACCAACCAAATTGTGAAGTGGAATAGTAAGAGATGTATCAAGTTCAAATTGTTAGATCTTAAATAAATGATTTGATTTTATGATAATTATAATTTGATTCGTCGGTTGGTTGTTATTAGCACAATTGAACAGTGACCTATCATTGCGTAGGCGGATACATCGTAATATTTATAATAATATTTTATGATATCAATTATATAGTGTGTTTAAAATTAGAACAGGCTTATCAATAGATAAATTGTCAAACTTGTTTTTGAGTGAATTGAATCACAATGATAATTTTACCCATTAAACTAGCTAGATGATATTGCTTTGATTGAAACACTAAAGTATTAAAATTTTCATATTTAACTATTTATGAAGTAAATTCAAATTAGTTAGATCAATGAAATTCGGACATTGAACCCTTGAAGAAGGATAAAAACAAATAACTCAGTACGTTATAATCACAGAAATCCTTAACTTACTTTACAAGATCTACAAACAGTAAAATCCAATACATATTTGTTTGTTCTTTTATTATTTAATTTTGATTCAAGTGAGGATTGGAGAAAAAGATTGTGATTTGTGCAGAGTTAGAGAAAGCAGCGGAAAAATTGATTTTGTAATCTATTACAAATTTATTTATAGTTTAAAGCTCGTGATAAGTAATACATGTGGTGTTATTTCATAATTTCAATATATCACGTATAAAATCAAAATAAATTATAGATTTATTCTTTAGGAAACTGATCTACCAGGGCCATCTTATAGGTTAGCTAGATGTTATTGCTTCGATCAAAGCACTAAATGAAAAAGATCTACACGCATAAACAACACAAGTACAGTATTAGTAAATAAAAAAATGTCGAAAATGCTAAAAATTTTATATTCATTTTTCTAAACAATCTTTTTAAAGAATTAGTTAAATTAGTAAATTTGAAGAAGTTGCAACCACACAAATCATAGACTCACTTTAAAAGATCTACAAACAGTAAAGATGGAATAGTTTTTTGTTTTGCTCTTTTATATTTTTGGATTTTTGTTTGAGTGAGATGGGAGAAAAGAATTGCGATTTGTTTAAAGTTAGAAAAAGCAGGGTACTAAATAGTGCATAAATAGAACAAATTGCCAATGGCATAAAGCTAAATTTATTTTTAGAAATAGACATAAAAATCAAGGATTATCACCTACTCCCTCCATCTATTTTTTCATATTTATTTTCAAAAATCAAAAAATAATTATTAATCTTTTTAAATTTATTTTATTTTTGTCACTAACTACTATTTATTTTTTAATATTTAAACAAGTCATACAATCAGTAATAAATGATGAAATTATTCATTTAATTTATTATTTCTTAAAAAAATATATCACGTTTAAACAAAGAAAGTATTAAATAAAAAAATAAATTAAGGATGGTGACCTTAGCTAAGTGGACATACCAAACAATTAATAAAAACGATATCTACAAAAAGGACCCACCAATTAATTAATGGGAAAATTATATATAAAGACAAATTAATAAATTAAATTAATTGCTATAATCATTTTTTGATTTAATTGTGCCCGTAGTAAACTGTTTGTCAGTCACCTCTCTCCCTTAAATTGTCCATCGCCACTCTCTTCTGTCGCTCCATCTCTCGCTCGCTTCCTCTCACTTTTATATAACCACAAGTGTATAAAATCTATTTCTATTTGTATAAACGAGGGGAAATTGTATAAATACATATATTTTTGTTTCCCCCCTCTCCCCTCTCCCAGATCTTGCTGTCACTCTCCCTAATCTCGTTCGCCACCCTCGCTTATACAAACAGAAATGAAATGTATAAATTGTGTTTCTGTTTGTATAAAGCGAGAAAAAATTGAATGTACACATGCAAATACATATATTTTCGTCCTATACACTCATAGTTATACAATAAAGATACTCCCCTGTCCAGTTTCTTTTGTCTTTCTCTCTTTCTTGTTTATACAAATTCAAATTGTATATAATTTATCTCTTTCTCGTTTTATACAATTCATTCTATATTCCCTGCCCAAGTCTCTTTTGCCTTTCTCTCTTTCTCATTTTATACAAATTCAAATTGTATATAATCGTTTTATACACTTATAATTATACAATTCATTTTATACACTTCGTTCTATACAATTCTCTCCCAAGTCTCTTTCTCTCTCTCATTTTATATACTTCATTTTATACAATTCATTTCAATTGTATATGTATGGCGAGTTATACATATATATATGTTTTATGTGTTTGCTATGGAATGCAATTATGCAAACTTTCTTATAATATATAAATATGAATTTTATATTTTGTTATATGTTAAAGTTGCCGTTAATTAATTGAATTACTACAATTGGCCCATAAACTATTACGTATCTAAAAAATCTGACACGAATTTTAATTTTTTTTGCACCATAAATATTTTGTGGGAGCACTTACCTTATTCTTGTCGCATACTTTTTTTCTTCTTCTTTATTTACCACATTTATGTCCATATGGAGAACTCCAAAAATCAATTTTTGTTTTCTTCCTCTAATTGAAAGCCTTAGACACAATATTGTTCAAGTGTGTGAAACACTAATTTCTAGCTAAGTGTACAAAACTTCCTATATTGGGAACGTAAATCAATTTAGTATACTACCTTACAATCCTTAATCATACTACAATTCTTTGTGATAAAATTCATTAGACTATCAATACAATTCTTTGTGATAAAATTCATTAAACTCTCAACCTTATCCCTTTAAACTCCGATCAAAAGTTATTTTGAGGTGGTTCAGACTTGATCAAAGATTATCTTGATGTATGTTGTGTATTAGACACGTGGAACATATGGACCCACACATAACTTTAGGATGGTTCAGGGTCGTAAAATTTCATTGTAGGAGCTAACAAAAGTAGCTCAAGTGGTAAAATAAATCTGATATTTAATTTTTTCGTAAAGTAAAAAATTAGCTAGTGATCGATGCTCGTGACTATGTGAGAAACTTGAGCACTACAAATTACACAAGGCCTAGCATTGAGCTACTCACCACAAACATTTCAACACAGAGACCACAATCAAGATTTAAAGACAGTAGGTGCGCCATCAAAGGCTAATGCACCTTAGTTAAAGTATATTATTCAAGATGGATTTGTGTAATTATTTTATTTAACATAGAACTATAAAACTAATGTACTAACATGTAAATATGAATTAAATGACTGTTGTATGTATGTTGTCGTTTTCTCACTAATGAATTTTTTACCAAAAGTGTTCAGTGCATCTATCCCAATGCAGAATTGCAGATCTATCTTTTATATGTGACTGCATTTACCTGAAGTACAAGCGAGAGGGCCATTCAGATATTTATAAAAAAACAATCCCTTCTTCCTGTGATGTAGGAAAAAAAGCTTAGTGCTGTATTTTGCCGGTGGGAATTTAAATGATCTGACCCCAGGAGTACCAAATGTTTCCAATAATATCATAACACCGACGAGCTTCAATATGAGATTCAAAAAAAGCATATTAATCAAACTCAATGAAGGCAACTGTCAGTACTTACTCAGACACAAACATGAACAGTTGAGGAGTGGATTATAGAATTTAATTTATATACACGGACGAGTTATTTAGTCCATGAATTACAATGAAAAAATCATTCAACTACTAGAGGAGGGTCCATATGAAAAGTTATGCATTTTAATACTCTGTACAAGTGGATGAACACATAACAAGTGATCCAGATCCATTATTGAAAGTCTAAAACACAAAAATCCAACATTCAAGTCTGTCAGACATGAACACTAATATCACATATACCAAGAAAACATGTATAACAAAACCCCATCTCTTCATCAACCAGCAGAATCACCAACTAAATGTCGATCGTCTAACTGAAAGTTACCATTCTATACAACAATGTTAACTTTGAATGAGAACAGAACGTTTTAAACAAAAGGAATCAAAATTACAATTTCAAAATCCAAGATAGATCAAATGTCAACTTCACTTTACTAACAAGAGGGAACAAGATATCATCACCCCCCACCTTATCATCATTCCATATTTCATCTATAGTATCTTGTAAGGATTGGTCTATAGCCTTCGAGAGAGGCATTCAAATGGTGTCCTCCCCTCCCACCCACGCCCCAAGGAGGGACAAATCATCGTGAGCACAGCTACCTACAGACAATGTCCTGTTATCCTCCACCACCAAAGGCCCAAAGTCCAGTACCCAGTCTTCAACAACACTGGACCTAGGACAACTTTCACATTCACCTCAGCTAATTAACCGGATACCTAATATACATTCAATATTTTTATATGTACACAGTAATTCTATCCACCGAAGCTGACAAATGGGAGATAAAAAGCACCTAATAGGACAAAAGCAATGAGAATTTCAGCTGTTCGAATACAGCAGCAGAAAATTTCTAACGTGTTTTAAAGAGAACGATTTTGTGCTACAATGAACAGTAAAGTATACAGCCTGAAACAGTTGCTAGAAATTTGATGTCTTCCTACAGAAGAGCTGCCGTGTAGAAATCAGACAAGTAAATCAATCTTGTATGGAGCCACGTAACTGACTTCCAGTTCAAGATGACCATCTGCTAGAAATCTGATGTTTTCTTGAGAAAATTATAACCGAATATATTCAGTGTAAAACATGTAACAGAGATTGGTCAGACTCTTATCTTAAACCTGTATTATATTGGGTAAGAATAGCTTTGGTTGCTCCAGTTAAAGCATAAAACAAACAAATCACTAAGTTCCCACACATAAATATAGATGGATTATCCAGTAAATTACTAGACTAGCTCAAATATAATTTGCTGAAAAAAATCAACAAGCTATTTCTTAAATCCTTACTACAGATCTGAAGATGTCTTTTTACCCCCACAAAGGTAGGGGTAAGGTATGCGTATATCCTACCCTCTCCAGACCCCACTTGTGGAATTACATTGGGTATGTTGTTGTTGTTGTTAATTGTTACTGCACATCAGAAAAAGGTGTATAAACCAAGAATGAGTGACTGTTTATATAACTGGAGATGAAGGCCCTTCCAACTAAGGTTGGCTGAGAATAGGCTAACTCTGAGCGTTTAAGAACTAAATCCTTGCAAAAAGTTTCCCTGAAAATGAGAAGCTAGTTCAAACTAAACGTAAATAGGAAGCAATGAAAATATATGTGGAGCTTAGGCATTCCAGACTGCAAATGGCAAAGAGGGATTTCAATTTTAAGAGAATAATTACTACCCTTTTCGTTTTGAGAAGGTAACATATTTATATTATATAAAAATTAACTACACAAAAACTGTGTAGTCATCCAAATTAACAGTGTGATGCAATTTAGATGGAGCACACTCTGGTAGGATCTTCTCATACCACAAAGATAATACTTGCATACCAGGACCCCTTTCAGAAATGATTATTAAGTGCAAGTGAAGAAGAATTCAGCTACAAGTTCACAAAGACACTCTTGTCAAGTCAGAGCATTAGACTATTCAAGCTATGAGAACTAGCTTTGTTGGATCTGTGACTGTTGTATTTCTTCCTTTTCCAGTGGTCTTGTTTCATGAACCTTTTCTTTTCTAATTGAAACTAAAGTAGAAATTACTAGTTTTAACCACAACAGTTGTCTTTTTAGATTTAGTGAAGTCAATTCCTTGCTCAATCCTCCTCTGAGGGGCATTTCTATTTAAGCTTTAGAGAATCCTGTTCCAGTGGAAGACTATGTAAGGTACAGTATAAGGTCCAATTAATCACCTCCAACAGGCAATAGACGGCTCTGACCTGACCACAGTCAATCAGTCTATTCTTCTGGTTATATATAGTCTAACCCTATCCTCAATTTCGACAACAAATGTAGGTTCTATAACCAGACCATGCACACTAAGAACACAGCGGATTAGAAGGAACAAGAGGTTCTGCTCATTAAAGTGTGAGACACAAGGTCAGGAGATTTTAACTTCATTAAGCACGCATGATGCAACGTATTTTCAAAGAACCATAACTCTGAGAAAGTGAATGGCGTTACCTAGCAGCATCCAGCAAATAGCTGGCTATATGTTTTCTTCTGTTGGAGGGAGTAACCCAAATGGCTCTAATACCACATAATGCAGATACAGCTTGCTTCTCACACAAGACTATTCCACTGACGCTTTCATCTGACTGTTTATGACTTCTGATTGAGTGATTTCTTCCTATCATTTCCCTCTGGAAACTCACTCCCCCAAATTGGAGTGTGGTTGAAGTCCGTCTCACTTCCTTCTCAGGTGAAACATTACACCTGCTGCCCACTGGTTTTGAGAGAATCTTATAAGCCTTCTTTATGGGCTCTGCTACAAGACATCCAGATATCCTTTGGGAAAATATAAACATGTACACCTGTTTACAGGACAAATATATCAGAGTTTCATTCACAGAGCTAAGTCAAACTCAGCCTGTCACATAACCACCACACAAAGGGAGAATTCTTCATAAAAATTAGCCAGCAAATAAGAACAACCATTGAATGTCAGAGGATGATTACGAAGCCACATTGAACTCAACTAATACTCAACAGAGAATAGGAGCTGGACAGTTGAGATTTGATGTTGATTAGAGCAAAATTTTCAACAATGAGGTTTGCTTTCTATTACTATAAGTTTCATAAAGTTGCAAGAGAACAAAACCTTGCAGAGCTGATGATATATCCACCCATCTCCAAGTTCCATCTCCATCATCTTCACAACTTCCTGTACCTGTCAATAACACACTCTCTAAGTCTATGAGCTATGCTTATCTCTAAGTCTATGAGCTATGCTTAACGCAATTAACTAGGCAAATATCAATTGTGAAAGTCAAAACATGGTTTTTCATGCATAACCAAATAGTATATATAAACCTTGTTTCTCTGAGGAGGAGGGTCATCGTCCAGCACCAGGATAATTCTTCCAATTTCAAGTGAAGGAATTCGAAGGTTTCTTTCGTTCCGCCAACCCTGGACATTTTATCAAAGCATGGTACAATAGAACTTTAATCTTTTACTAACTGTATATCATCAAGCAGAACAGAAAATTTTGAAATACCAGAATTTGTTGCAGAATTACCTTAAATGGAATACCACGCGTATAATTCTTGTGAGACGTCTTATGGAACTTTTCATCCTCTTCATCACCTCTGGCATACTTGAAGCCACAGACAGTACAAGTGTGTAAACAAAAATCAGACTGACCCATTTCCAAATAGAACTGGGCATACTTTCTCTTCTTATTCAGAACTTCCCCTGACTTCATCACCCCTAGGTTTGGCACAATATTAATTGAAGAGAAATGTGACAACAAATATCATACCAAATTGAATTTTGAGGTCTTCGCTGGTATGTGACCAGAATTTCTGGCTGTACCCTCCCATAATCGAACTCAGCCATGCAACATTCAGATGGGTTTGTACTCTTCCATGTAGGGATGAAGAAGACAAGGGCTTGAAAAAGTTGTTAATCTTCGATTGCATGCTTCAATTTCTTTGTTGTTTTCATATACTCTCAACCTTTTTCACCCTTCACAGTTGTATATTGGCCATTCCTACCCAAAAAAAAAACAGCATTATATGAATTGCCCAAGTTCAAATATGCTGATCATCTATCTATTCTCTAATCAATGTAGGATTCAGAAGAAAACGAGAAGAACCTTAGCAGCACTCTTGGCTTCTTTTTCATTTTTTTTTTTTATCGTGAATTTGGCGGGTTTTAAAATTGGATAAATTTCATATATGGCAAACTTATTTGATTAAATAACATTATATGGGTATAGGTTAGCTAATTACATTCTATGGATATAGTTTAGTTATTTTAGGTATCTTTAATTTTGTATATAAGGTTTCTTTTGTTTTTTATTTATATAATTTTATTTTAAAAAGTGGTTTGTAACTGAAACGTTAAATATGCTAACAATAAATATAGATAATGCCATAATTTAAGGTAAACGTCTCTTTTTTTAAGGTAAACATTCAAATTCATATTTTTTTAAAAAAAATAAGAATTATACAACAATTGAAACAAAAGATAAACTTGTTTTTGCTGTTTATGAAACAACAGTTCATCAATTTTTTTTATTTGTTTTTTTTTTGTAATCGAATTTAGGTAAGTGTTCATTGGATGAAAAATCATGTTTATTATTGCAATAATTATACAATGTTCTATTGGATATACAAATTTTGATTTATGTGCGTTCCTTATTGTGGTGTCGTAAATTTTTTTATTTTTTGAAAACTGGTTTCAAAATATGATTATTTTAAGCAGAAATTTCGTACTATACAATTATATATACTTTTTGTTGATGTAGTATTTGTATATTATAAAGATGATCAGTGTAATCGAACACAAGTAATCGTTGGTGATAATTGTATATAATTTTGATGTAGTATTTATATATTAAAAAGAATATCAGTGTAAAAAATCAATTCAGTAATTTGATTATATAATAGTGTTGTATTAATTGTATATATGATCTCTTTGAATGATTTGAAATATATATATTTTTTATAATTGTACAGATAATGGCTTCATTGGCTATTTTGGTTATGCATTCTAGATAATGTGTACATGAATATAGTAGTTAAACATGACATTATATACAACTGTCTAAATAACTTTGTATATACTCCAATAATATATAAACTTAATATATACTAACTTCAATAATTTATATATAACTACTAAAATATACAAATTACAATCATATATGAAATTTTCCTATCTGTATAACTAAATCCAATTACTTTGTGTATATATGTATACAAAAACAAAAATAATAATGAGCCTTTAATATACAATCCGCTACAACCACTATTAAAACTTAGTATATATGTATACAAAAACAGTCAATTTTGAAAACAGTCATGAACAGATCAATTTTTGTGTATGTATATAAACTTAATATATACTAACTTCAATAATTTGTATATAACTAATAAAATATATAAATTATAATCATATATGAAATTTTTCCATATGTATAACTAAGTCCAATTACTTTTTGTATATATATACAAAAACAAAAATAATAATGAGCCTTTAATATACAATCTGCTACTACCACTATTAAGACTTAGTATATTATTAATTATACATAACTTAAAGTATGTATAAAGTATTCAAATCCACAGACACATATACAAATATATAACTAAAACATGTGTGTACTAAACATGCAATATACTATATACAATTACGTGATTACAAAATTTATTTAAACAATAATTTTTTGTATATTGATATCTAAGTAACAAAAGAATTGTATCTAAATTTGTGTTTTAAGCCACTACCTCATAATTATGATGTTCTTCAAAACCGTCAACTTCACATGCATTTTCCTCTGAATCAATGTTTACTGCTTTCCTCTTTCTTCTTCCTTTTACAATTTTAATGCCTCTAGCTTTAGCATTGTTAATAACTTCTTGAACTGCCGTAGGGTTATATTTTTTCTTTGATCTCAATTCTTCCATTGTTTGTTCATATTGAACTTGTTTTGATTTTACCATAGACCCTACATCAACCCCAAAATCTTGAGTTAAAACCATTAAAAACGATGGTAAATTGTCAACAAAATTGACATGCAATGGAATACCTCTGATAATCCTCATAGATGAAGATGATTAATTCATTTTGTGACTAATTTGAGATCTAATAAGAACAAACAATCGATTATTTCATCAAAAAAATATGAAAAAACATAAGAAATACAATACATATACAATTATTGAATAAGAAAAAAAAAGAAAGGAAAACGACTAAAATTTAAGAGTACCTACGAAAATTGAATTCAACTTCGGGATGGAGTAATTGAGTTTTGGGCAATTTGAAATTCAAATTGGATAGAAGTATTAATTGTAGGAGAAAAAGGTGGAATATGAATAGGAGAGATAATATTATTTTGTGTAAAATTATATACAAAATTAAAAATAAAAAAATTTATAGTGGACCCCGTTAATTATAGCAAAAAAAATTAACTATAATTATAGAAAGTAAATAATTTAAACTATATCCCTATTATATAATTACTTAGGAATGTTTGTCATTCCATATAATTTTCCCTTTAAAGGGAAAATGGGCTTTTCCTCTTTGGGCTTTTTTTCATTAGATTGTGGATGAGGAATGTTTTTTTTCTATGAAAAAATTATATATAATAGCAAACTAATAACCTAAAATGAATGGAGTAGATAGGGTCTGATTTAATTGTGCTCCATAGCAGACCTTTGCAAAAAATTGTCAGGGCCTCTCTCCCAAATATCTCGCTCGCCACTCTCCTCCAATCTCTCGCTCGCTTCCTCACTTTTTATACAAACACAAGTGTATAAAAATTGTTTCTAATTGTATAAAGCAGAGAAAATTGTATAAATACATATATTTTTGTTCTCATCTCTCCCTTCTTCTAGATCTCGCTCACCACTCTCCCAAATCTCGCTCGCCACCCTCGCCTTTCTCACTTATACAAACATAAGCGAAATGTATAATTGTGTTTCTATTTGTATAAAGCGTGAGAAAATTGTATATACACATGCAATTACATATATTTTCGTCCTATACACTTATAATAATACAATTCGTTTTATACACTTCGTTTTATACTATTTGCTTCAACTGTATATGTATAGCGAATTATACAGTTTCTATGTTTGTTATGGAGCGCAATTATGCAAACTTTGCTATAACATATAAATATGAATTTTTTATTTGCTATGGAGTGCAATTATGCAAAATTCATATTTGTATTAATTTGATGATTTTTCGTTATTTGATCTATGTTGTTATATTTTTTGTTTTATTATATTTAAAATATTGTATCATTTTGTTATAGTTAATTTTCATATATAAGAATATTTCGACATTCATAAATTTTTCATTCTTGTTTTGGAACACTTCTATTTAAGCTCATAATTTTTCGAAAAATACTTTTTTTTATCTTTCAAGGATGTGGAAGGTCAGGTATATCTCTATACGAGAAATTTATACGGAATAACAAACATTTATCCTATACTATGACTGCATCTATAATTTAAGAAAAAAAATTGTATTTGCGAGTACAATTTTTTCAATTTTTGCTATTTGATTTTTGAATTATAATAAATTGTATAATTTTGTTTCTACCACTACCTGGGGATTTCTAGATCCGCTCTAAGTATAGCATTAAGCGGAAGGAGGGACTTGAACCCTCAACCTTAGCCTTGGCAAGGCTATGCTCTACCATTAAGCTATTTCCGCCAGCTAGTACGATTTATGAAAAAATCATAATAAAATTGCCCTGTTTATATATTGACAAGTGAAATATACAAAGGGGCAAACAAAATATATAAACCACAACCTCCGATAGCAAATAAAACAATAAATATAAAACACAATTATTGAAACTTAGCTATAAAGTGTATAGTATTATAGGATAGCAAAAAGACGTTGAAATTAATTTCTTCCGCCATAAACAATGTACAACTAACTTGTAAAATTCGTTAACCAACACAAGTCACTGACCAATCTTAGCTTGAATCTCGCGTTTCTCTCTATCAGTCCACACAATTCAATATATATATATATATATATTACATACATTTTACGATTCATCATTTACTCCGAATTTGACTACAAATTCTTCTTAATTTGTTCTCATTGCTGCATTTTCAGTTATTAGTATCTGAAAGAATCAAATAATTTTTTAAATTTTTTTTTTTGCTCGCAAAATCCAGGTTTCTGTTAGGATAATGCGAGCAAAACTTTGAAGAAATTTAATGGCTGCTGTTAAGCGACTGGTTCCATTAGGTGTTAATTACGGTATTAGTTTGTCCAAATTGGGAGGGATTAACAATGTAGCCATTAATGTTCATGCAGCTTCATTGCTTGTAAATAGGTCGCAATGCAAAGCCGATAAATATAATTTCAAATTTTACAGTTCGTATTCGTCTAAATCTTCTGCCCATAACAAGTTTGGGTATAGGCAGATGTGTCAAATGGTTAAGCTGGATGGAAAACGTGCCTTTCTCGTTGATACATTAGCTATGGTAATTTCCTTGTTTTGAAATATGATACAATCAAACCTCTCTATAACAACGTCATTTATCCCATATTTTTTAATTGCTAAAGCAAATACTGTTGTAGAGAATATATATTGTGTTATACAATACAATATGAACGATTGGTTCCACAAAAGACCTAGTTGTTACAGTGAAAATGTTGTCACAGAAGATGGCGTTTATAAAGAGGTATAACTGTAATTTACAATTTTAGGCAATTTTCTAGTTTGTTCGTTTTGAGTTGATGTTATATATTTATGCCCTTTTCGAGTACATTTATTGTCTGGTATAATATTGGTTTGAGATGAGTTTAAATGGAGCGACATTGCTAATGAGGATTTCCTATACCCGACCTCAACTTGCTTGAAATTGATTTGAGTTGTTGTTATAATTAGGAATTTGGTATGTTTTTTACAGGCTCGTAGATTAGAAGCACAAGGTGTACCTTCAAAGCAGGCAGAGGCAATAACTTCTGCGATCACTGAGGTTTTAAACGACAGCTTGGAAAATATTTCTAATTCTTTTGTTTCACTAGCTGAAATGCAGAAAGTAAGAGATTCTCAGATAATAAATTTATTTTTTTTTTGGTTTTATAACAAATACACTATCATTGTACCAATATGAAAATGTTCTTTTATGTGTTTGTCTCTGTAGTCTGATTTGGTTCAAGAAGCCAATCTTTCCAAGTTCAAATCCCTACTACAAAATTCTCAGGTAAATATATTTCAAGTATTAAGTTGTCAGAAGGTCTCATCATGTGATATATATCAATCTGCTCTTTTTTCTTTTCTAGTTTGTAGAATAATTACCAATCAAATATCAAATGTAAACCTTTTGATTCTCTTCTCGGCCTATTTCGTACCAGTAGTCTACCTTTGTCTAATCTGGTTATGAAATTGTAATGCGTGGAGATGTATGATTTTGAATGCTGTTTGGAGCCAAACAGTTCATTGTTGAGTTTTTGAAAAGATGCAATCCTAATGTAACAGTTATAAATGGTTCTATCTTCTTCTCCTCTCATCAGGCTATAAATAGAGATTCTAAGGTATGTTTTGAGTTGGATCTGCATAGGGCTCTGCACGTATTTCTTAGGATCGAGAGACATGGATATTTGGCGGTTATTCCTATTTGCTACATCAATTAAACATTGTAGGAACTCCTAATCGATGCATTAAGTTTCTTAGTACAGATATTAATTCATAAAAATTCTTCACATTTACGGTTTGAATTTTTCTAAGCTGAGTGAACTATTTAGACTCACATCACAAACTTTTCACGATGTTCTTTCAGTTGCAGCGGAAGAGGGAATCTTCCAATT